AATAATTCGAAAACATTTACCACCCACAAATTAATTCCACTTGAAAATTTGCCTTGCCGAAATTTCTCAGTTTAGCCGACCGAATGTCAGCGCATTTGGTCAGGGAGCTGACCTCACATCAGTAAGTTCCTGGGTTCGAATCCCGTACAGCAGTGTTTCCCAAAGTGTGGTACGCGTACCCCCAGGGGTACGGGAACAGTTTAGCGGGGGTACGCGTTCTTATGCGAAATATCTTGCAACATATGAAAATTTCGAAATTTTTTACTTAAAAACAAAACTAGCCATGAAAATTTACGATTACGTATTTTTCTGTTGGCTATTTTTTGCAGAGTTAACAGTTAATAATTAGTGGTGTCAGTTGTGATTTTTAACTTTCGTGCATTTCTTATAGTAAAATATACATTCATTTTTTTATTAGGGATATACAGCGTTACGAAGAATTCAGAAAGGGTACACAAAATTCATAAGTTTTTGAAGCACTGCCGTACAGTACAAAACCGTTCTTGGATGTTCCTTCATTCTCAGTACTATATCCTTACTGTGGGAGCAAACGTTGACCCACCTAATAGGGTGCCCCTGAAAGAATAACCAACAATTCTGCCCAACTGATACCTAAATAACGAGTGTCAATCTGGTGGACAATGGAAAAAGAATTTCACAGTTTAATACTAAATTGATTTTCATCCAAGACTGTGGGAAAAGGAAGAAACTAACAATTTTCTGGAAAAGCTAATTTCTGTTTCTAGTAGTTATTATCATTAAAACATAAGTTTGAAACAGTTTTAGAAGTCTAAAGTCAAACTCAGTGCGAAAAATAAACTAGTTTCTTCCTGTTTTCAAGAACAATAATCTGATGAAAAATTTTTTTGAATTCGCAAAATTTACAGTACAAAACTAGTAACACAAAATATGAAGAAAAAAAATGAACTGTAATTTATAATTGTTTATAAGTTGAAATAAAGATTAAAGTATATATGAATTTATTTTTAACTATTGCAGGAATTTCTATTCTGCAAAATATTTTTAAAACACTCTTTAAAAAAAAAAAAGAACTTATTTATTGAACAATACTAAACTGTGAAAAACATCAAAATTCATCATAGTCAGGTGTAACTACCTGATAAAGAAAGCCTTAATTATTCTGTAATTAGTATAAAGTATTAATAAATATTCCTTCTATTTATTTTCAACAATATTTTGCTTTTTCTCACACAAAAAAAGAAAAAATATGAATTTTATACTGTTGCAATTTTTGATATCTGGATGTATTTTTGACTTCCAACATCTTCACAACCCTTTCTCGATGCAGGTTAGTCTATTATCTACCAAGCTACATCATGCTACATTTTGTTTAATTTCCTTATCATAGAAAATTAGCAACAAATGAATGCAAAAAAGTCTCAAAATTGATCTTACGTTACGCATCGCTTTTAGATTCAAAACAGACTGTAGTTTTTTTTTTCTTTTTTTAATGTTATTCACTATTTTCACACAGATAACCTATCTGGTAAATCGGGTCTCACAACCCTATTTATCTCTTCTACACCTTGATTAATTTTTTGCAGCAGACAGTTTCAGTTCAGTGAATGCTTTAACACGGGCTTTGGTACAGTATAGCTTCTCATTAGTTCTCATACCGTTATCTCTGGAATAAATCTATTAAAATTAACAACATATTACTTTAATTAAACGCTTGAAATTAATAAAACTTTTTTTTATTTTAAAACAGTTTCTTGTTGCAATATTGCCATTCTTGTTAGAATGAAACTTAAAATAAGTGAAATAATAATTCAAATATCACACTGAAAATTTACTATATTGCGAAATCTGTTGAGAATATTCTGTTCAAAAAAAATAAATAAATAAACCTTAAGGACTTGAATGGGATATTTTTGATTACTGGAGCAACGTAAACTTGGTCCAAGGCTAAAAAAAAGAAAATAAATCTGGAAAGAGTTGTAATTATAATTTGTTCAGTTAATCTGTAAAAATAAACTGAACCTTTAAAATATTATGTATTTTATTTACTTAACCAAATAAAATTGGTCGCGTACATGCATTTCAAAGTATTTAAAAAAATTAGTTCGCATGTAAAATGATCCATAAAAATTTGTACTTCATAAGCAAGTTATTCAACTGGAACTTTAATAGAAATTTGTCAATTTTCATTTTTCGTATGCGGAGTTCGTTCTTTAAAAATCTCTCAACATCAAAAAGACGCAAGTGAAGCTGACGCCGCTGTTTTGGGCGTTCAACTTACAACGTTGCATTTTGTTTTGTTGTGCTAAAAATCTTAAGGTGTAAGAGCTTGAATAGCGGACGTGTGCAGAAAAATTTAGTGCGCAAAATAAAACTGACAACTCTGAATAACTTTTTAATGATCGGATCTTCACGTTCTAGGAATCATTATTAATGGTTCAAGGGGCTAACTTTAAATATGCTAATTAATTAGTACATACTATAGTTTAAGTTGCGAAATCAGACACAAACACGTTCTTTCTCAATAAACAGCTTTTTTTCAACGGATTCTGACCCCCAATATATAGGAGGCAGCCACAATCGAGATGATATGGTCCCAATATTTTGGTCACAAGCGGTTCTAAGTTTGAACTCCTTAATGTTAATTTTACTTTTTGCATATTTCCATTACAATTGAGTCATAGAACGTGAAGATTCGATCATTAAATCAAAAGTTATTTAGGGTGGTCCATTTCTTTTCGCACTATAGTGCAGGGTTTATAATTGTCCTCATATTCACGATTTTCCTGATAAAAATGTCTTGTTCTTATTTGACCTGGTTTTCAGCTTTTTGTCGCTAATGTTCCTGATTTTTTAGTGTGCAGAACATTGCAGTTCTTAAGCATACAAATTCGGATTTAAAAAAAAAATTGGATTTGGATTTTTGATCCAACATTTTTTATTTTAAATGATATCAGTAGAAATTACGAAACTCAACAGTTCCAATTTATTGACTTTATTCTGGTTGTATATATGGTCCTTTTAAAAAAAAATAAAAATACAATAAGCCATTGAAAACAAACTAAATTCACAATTTCAAATTATCACATTTTAATGATGATGAATTCAGGGCCCCATGGGATTATTTTCAACAAATGCAGTAAAAATTTTTGTCGGATGGAGTTTTAGAGTTTCACTATCATCGATTTGTCTCCTTCATGTGATTTTACAAACTGATATGATTACTGTATTGTTGATTGAAATCTATCATAGAATTTGTAAATCATGAATTCAGGGATCATTCACTAAATACTTTAGAACAAAATTTTAAATGGGATATTCATTATGTTTTCATTTCGAGTTATTTGATTAAAGTAATCTTGAACTCAATTACAAATTTTTATTATAAATTGCTATGAGAGAATATTAGCCAATTGACTCTGTTTATTTTTTCAATGCAAAAGTAATAAAATTTTTCCAGGTCTTTATTTGAAACTAATATAAATGATTCAGTATTGATAAAAATATACTGGAAACTTTTAAAAATTTTACGACGCACACAGTATTACAAAGTATTCTGAAATTTAAAATAGTACATTTTATGAATCATTTGCGGTAAAATTCGCTTTTGTTGTAATTAAGTAGAGCAAATAATGTGTTTTTAATTTATTTTTTTAAAGTATTATGTAAGGTAAACTTTTTCAAAAAATTTCTTGATTTTTTTTTTCTTTTCTTCGACCCACTATTAACATGTGTACAGGCAGCACGATGGAGTAAAGTAATTTAATATGTGATAATTATTAACTGTTAAATTAGTAAAAAAAAATACTATGTGAAACGCCATTCAACCCGTCTAAATCTTAAAAACTATTAAAATAAGAATAATCGAATCAAGAAGTAGAAAGCTTTCAATTTGAACTGTTATGACACACGGTTATTGTAAACAAGTAAAATCAAGTCTCCCTTTTTGAGTCTAACGTTCTGTATAAATTTAAGCTTAAATTTTATTTTCAAGTAAAAATTGATTATTTTTCAAATCCAGATAATCATTCCACTTCGTCATGATTTACATAGTAATAAAATATTCGTGCAAATAATTACAATACTATATTGACAAAATGATTAAAAAAATATTTCGACTTAAGAAAACAATGATTACTACGAAGCAATCACTAATTTGGTAAACAAAGTTTCTAGTCTAGTAAAATATTTAAAAAGAGTTACATGCTTTGGATTGCTATTACTAATTAATAGCTATCTCTACAAAATCTAAATCTATTAATTTTAAAAATATAATCCACAAGTCTGTTATTATGCCATTTTAAATTGATAAAATTGGCACTAAAACCAAACTCCAATTGATTACGATATTTTCTGACTTTTAAGAGCATTGTTGTCTTTACTTTAAGAAGAGATATTAGTGACATAGTAACAAAATTACTTTGTCATTAACTAGTAAGAGTTAGTACAAAATCAATGCCACTATTTAATAAAGAACTGCTGCTATCTCAGGAATATTCTCATTATATAGCCCGATGTACTTTTCAGTTAGCTGGGCGCAAGAGAAAAGTCGCCAAAAATGTAGACCTCCACCAACTTTTTTTTAAAATTTTTTAAACAGATTAAAATAAAAGAATTTTAAAAAAAGTTTAATTCACCCGGCTCACCGAAAAGTACCCATAGACCCACTTCCCGTTAGGTTTATTTCCTTCAGACATGCACGGATTCCACGACCCTAAATTGCTCTAATGACAATTTCCTCCATTCCCCCCCCCCCTCTTTTTAATTTTTCGTCAGATATGGTTTGAAACTCAATGTTATTGTACTACCGGAAAAGGTATTATATTGTTTTAACATTGAATTTGGCGCAATATGGTCTAATCAGACTTTAGTGCCATTAAATTCGACCTTCAATCCACAAATTCATTACCAGTTTAACGCTTCAATTTACAGACCCACATACGCGGGATATTTATGTTAAGCTTTCATTCGTTGAATAATTGCAATCAAAGTTGTAGTTGATTATATTTTATTTTTTTCAGGAATCGACAGAATCGCTTAATGGAAGTCCAACAAGACATTTTACGCAAGCTTGGATTATCACGAAATCACAATGTCACTTCCCACATGTCTCAGGAAGAGAGACAGTCTCTCGTGTCGTCTTTCGACAGGACAATGTTCGCTCGACTGGAAAACGATACAGTCCATTGTGATGACGAGAATATGTGTTAGAAAATTATGCTCTATTCAGGACAGTATAGCCCTTCTGATATTACAGACTTAATTGCAAGCGTAGGTCTAAGCGCCAATTAGCCTCTGAAAGAGTGACGTTTTATAGTGTAGCTATAAAATGTGAATTTTTTAATACCGATTCTGATTGATAGTATGTTATTTGCAGTATTTTATGTACATATTTTCTTGTAAATAAATTTTTAATGTTTATTTTTTATTTATCATTGAAATTCGAAAACTAGTTAGTGTATTTGAATTATTAAACTTGTAGTTTATTTGTATAATTGAGAGCTCTGGTGGATCCAACAGAGTAACTTATTTAACTCACTATTTATTTGTCTAAGATAACACCTAACATAACACCTAAACAGACTGAAAGTAATTGATAGCTTATAATTGAATTTTAAAGTTAAGCTTTACTTTATGTAAATTTCTTTGTACTAACTTACAAATATACACGAATAATATACAAAATTATATAAGTATCAATAGAAAAATGGGTACTTTTAAATTAAAATGTAAACAAAGAATTCATTCTTTAAAAATATACATTTATTGGGAAATTTGTACACAATAAGGCACAATATTTATTTACAATATTATCACAAGATATGCAACAAAGATGATTCCATTTTTCATGTATTTAATATAACTAAGCACTCTTTGTAATTTCACATTTTTCGGACTATTTTGAAAAATAAACTTCAAAGTAAAACTGATAATTCTGATTTATATAAGCATCAACTGGGAGAGATTTAATACTGCGCAAATATCAAGATTTAAAAATGGAAATTAATTTAACATTTTTATAATAATGGATTAAATTTATACTTTATAAAAAACTGAGTACACTACAAAATTTTGATTAAAAACAAAAATTAAATATGGATCTTTATACTTTAAAAATAAAAAACTTCACCGAATTGATAAAAAATATGCACAAAAAAATTATGGACTATTGCATATGAAAAAAATTATTTAGCGGCGAACTCAATCAAAAGAACAACAAAGATAACTTACAAATGCTTAACTGCTATGAGCTATTAGTAACATTTTAATTTTAATTTAGTTCTATCTCACTCAGTTTTAAAGCTACTTAAAAACTAAAATCCATCATCATAAGGCAGCAGAAAATTAAGAAAAAGTTCTTTATTTTGAAGTACCCGAATGGCGTCGAAAGAAATCTGTTAAATATTTCGTCTTGTATAAAGCCAGGACTGAATTCGTAAACATCTCCAATGTATTAATGTCGATTCTGATTCTCTTTGCCCCCTATGTAATCGTAAAAAAAAAAGACTGAAACTAGCCACATCTTTGCATATGCACTGCTCTATCGTTTTGGGAAAGTTACTAGGTGGCTAAAAAGTCCCAGAGTTCAAAGATATACTGATGTCGGTTTGCTTCAGTGTTGCAAGTGTTTTATATGATATTCAGTTGTCTTGCTATGTGTTATTAGAAATTTTAAAAAAAATAAATAACCCTATCATTGTGTATCCAACGTAAAAGTAACAAATTTTGCGATTTCCACAAGGATATTCCGCCCATTTAACTACGCAACCCGCTTTTTTCCCGTTCATGGTTTCATTTCGACTTTTCTGTGATGTTTATTCAGATCTGGTTTAAAAGATGTTATGAGTCTAGATCAGGGATGAGCAAACTACGGCCCGCGGGGCAACTGTGGCCAGCCGGAAGGTTTTATCCGGTCCGCGGATAGAATTTTAACTTACCGATCCGTGGCGAATATAAACTATATACATTATACATCCATTCTCTTGTCTACTTTGTTTAAAGCTATTTTTGCTCTTTATTTTTTAACAAAGTACTGATGAACTTTTTATCTATTTTTGTTCTGCAAAACAAATTGTTGGAAATAGCTGGCAAAGATAGAATTACGAAGATGACTTGAAAAAAAACCTATTTTGAGCTTTTACGTAGTTTCAAGATTTCAGTGCCATTCAAACATAATTAGATATTTTTACCATTCTTTTCAACGTAAATTGTGAAATAGTGAGGTCGGATATGCAGCTTGAATTAATCGAGTTGTAAAATAACAATCATCTGAAGCAGTTGTTTCTAAATATGGCAAAGTTGAGTTTTACAAATCATTACCAAAAACTAGTTTCCCAAATTGAATATCTCATGCCCAGAAAATTGGCACTTTATACGCTTAATCTTATATATGTGAACAAATGTTTTCAACTATGACTAAAAAATCATTTTAGAAGTAGACTAACAGACAAGCATTTAGCCTCGTTCCTTAAAATAAGTACATCTCACTTCGAACCTCAATATAAAGGAACTTTTAAAAATGAAATCGCAATTTCATTCATCTCATTAAATATTTAAATTAAAACTTGTATATAGTTTTTTAATTTTAGAAGTTTTTACTTAGCCCACCAAACTTTTTTCCCCGATTTTTGGCCCTCGACTAATAAAGTTTGCCCTTCCCTGGTCTAGATGTTATGAGCTGTATAGATTTCTATAGATAATACAAGTAAGTTTTGCAGCATTTTGCGCACTCTTTTCAAGCGCGCTGTTTGTTCCTCAAAAATAAAAACGAACTGGCAAAACAAAACAAAATCGCACCGTAACTCGAAAGATTACGAAATATGACTTTTTGCCTTGAGCATTCCTTTGAATAGCATCATACTAAACTTCGTTTCTAACGAATGGTTTGTATTAGGCATATTTTCATTAAAACATACGTTTTCCCTTTGTATTTCATGAAATTAATCCTGATTTAACCAAAATTCACTTTCAAAATTTTGCTATTATATGATTACTATTCAATTTCGATTTTCCGACAACTTTTTAGGATTAAATTTTTTTTCAAATAAAAAAAACACTTCTACAAAAAAAAAATTTGAATTTGAATTCCAAAATATTTATGTATGATTAAAAAAATATGCCTATTTGATTTTTTAAAACCATTTTTAAAAAAATATGCAACGAGAAGATTACCTGAAAAAGCTAAACCCACTTTGGGTTGCCGAAGAAATTTCAAAATTAAGTTCCAGAGCTGCTAATCAATAACATTGTTCTTAATAGCCACTGTGCTATTTTTTCATAGTTCAGTGTATTTCAGCAGAATTATCTGTAGTAATATTGATGTGCAAATGAAAATGTTTACTTGATATTCTACAAACTACATTTTTTATATACAACAAATCAAGCATCTCTAAAGGTAAATATTTTAAGATTAAGAGTTTTAAAAGATTTATCAAAAACAATACCTTATGTTTAATAATTATGTTTAATTATGTTTAATAATTATGTTTAATTCATCTCTACACAAAAGAATAATAATTTGCCTCATTTGCAGAAAACTTTTTAAAAAAAATCAAATTGGTAATCAAATAAAATATAGAGTAAAGAACTCAAGAAATTTGATTCCTTTATATTTTTCCAAAATCATCCTGTAATTTAGCTGCAAGAACTAAAAACCTTAGAAATAAGGAATAATTTAAGTATTGATATTGCTGTATTTTAAAATATTTTGCAAGTGACAGTTTTTGGTTGCTCTGAATTGAAAATCTTTCTTTCATTCCAAAAATTCAAAGGAAATGAAACAAAAAAATTAATGTTCCACACAAAATTTTAGAAAATTTAAGTATATACAAATATTTTATCTTTCATTAGATAGATGTTAAAACTATTATTATAAAAATTAATTCAAATTTTAACTACAATTTTCAACAAAAAAGGGGAAAAAAATCTACAAACAGGATTAAAAAAAATTTAAACCTATAAAGTTCAAAATTACAAAACCTTAATAGTCTAAATGAAATCTACAATTAATGATCAATAACAATAAATAATATAAATAAAACTTTTATTTTGTACTTCATTATGCGTTTACACTTTAGTTATTGTGTAAAACATTTTCTCTTTAAAAACTTAATTACAAAATTTATTGTATAACTTTCAGTTTGTAAGCAGTTTTCATAAATATGATAGCTTATCGCATAATGAAAAGGGAAAAAAATGATTGTTCTATCAAGAATAACAATCATCAAATTTATCTTACTCTTAAAAACTCTGTGTGTATATATATACACATATATATTCAATGTTTTGCTTAAAAGTTGCAAATGGGTATCAACAAAAAATTTAAGCATGCTTCAATAGAACCATAACGATAAACAAGAAGCATTTTGATATGTAACAGATGTCTAAGCGCATAGCATTCTTCCAATCATACATTATGTAGACTACTATCTTGATCAACATATAACATATGTGACAAGTAATTAATGTGTTAGAAGTTGAATAATTAGCACAGTACAGTTTTATAGAGTATTTACAATAAAAGTACACAAAAAGTTTTTTCCCAGTCATAATGATTATTTGGATGAAAATTATTTTTAATAAACAATTATGGTATGAGAATGAAATTCTGTTCATTTTGCCTGGTTATGTAACGTTCTTTTTTAAATTCATACATAAAAAAATATACTTTAAACATGGCATTTAATATACATTATCTTAGCAATAAATGCTATGAGATGCATACAATAAGCTTTGAGATGCATTTAATATACATTATCTTAACAATAAATGCTTTGAGAGGCATTCAGATTTAGTACGCTGCAACATAACATTAACCTTCCAGCATGCACGTTTGTGCAAATTTTATGATAAACTTGGTTTTATTGAACTTTTTTTGCTTTTATTGATCATATATCGCATCTGGAATGTCTGATGGTCATTTTTATAGTTCCTTTCAACTCTTCCCTTCATCATGGAATGTGCCAACAGGAAGATTATAAAAAAGGCACTTTAGATGTTATAAAAAAGGCACTCTCTCCGCTTAAAAACTCATACAGAAATATAACAAAAGATAATTACTACACAAGCATCTCATTTGCTAATTATTTGCTACAAAGAAAAATTTACTCGTCGGCACATTGAAAAAAAATAAGAAGGAAATGCCACTGAATTTTTTCCACATAAGAGACAAATAGTGCAAATCGCAATATTTGGTTTCCAGTCGAACAAAGACTTAGTTTCGTATGTTCCTTGTAAAAGCAAAACAGTAATTCTCCTTTCTTCTATGCCTAATAATGCCAGCATTGATACAAGCAAAAATGAATCATGAATAATTATGGATTATAATGCTGCGAAACGAGGAATAGACACCGTCAATAAACTGTGTGCATTAACAAAAACCATTAGAAGATGGCCTTGTGCTATCTTTTTCAGTCTTTTGAATATTGCTGGACTAAATGCCCAGGTTTTACACATGCAAAGTCAAATAGCAAAGCATGGTGCCTAAATATTTTCACTTAATCTTATAAAAGATCATCTTCATTACCATGCAAAAATCCAAACAATACCTTATGAAATTTAAACATTACTAAATTGTAACTACGCTACTCCTAATGATAAAGTGCTAAACAATCCTCATCAAAACGAGGAATATGCTGTTTGTGAACCAGAAAAAAAGAAGAGATTTTCAGCATCAATGAAATACAAGACGCGCCTTAGAAACACTTGCAAATGGCATTCGATTACCTAAATTATTTACTTGGCAGACAATGTGAACTTGGAACATTTAGACATCTCTTCAGAATTCTATTTTCCTAATATTACTCTATTTTATTCTGTATTACTAGGCAACTATATTCTCTTATTTCTAATTTTTAGAAATAAATAAAAGAATTAAAATTGGAGTGAGTTTAAAATTAGTTTTTGTAACTAATCACTCATTTTCTTGACTTGTTTCATAGAAATAAAATTCTTTGTAGAAGTAAGTAAGTAATGTTAAGCTCAGAATTTTTCCTTCCAAGGTTTCATTTTTTTACTTGTTTACACTTGATAAATATGAAAACTATCTTAAATTTTAAAAAATTATTATTAACTAATAAATTTTAAATATTTTTTCATAAAATAGAGTATTGCTTTTCTTCCTGACTAATCTAAGCATTTAAAAATAACTTTTTAACATTTGAGTGCGAGATCACTTGTATTTTGCAACAAAAAGGTTATTTTTTTATTTTGTGACAAATTTACTGTCAATATCCATTCATTTTTGTCGTTTTATGACGCAAAACGTAAAAAAAAAGCTGTTGCCGAAAATATTGCGCATGCTCGTGTAGCTGAGCGCGTGTGCTGGAGGGTTAATAAACTAAATTTAAGCCAACAATCGTGTCATCTTCAATTGACACAAAACTAACAAAAATACAAACTTAAAAAAAAAAGATAAAGAAAAGTTTTTTCATATATAATCCTTACCAGAAAATATAAATGTATGAGCTGCAGGCTAATTGAAAAATCTGGCATTGCTGAACCTAAAAGGCTCACAGCAAAAAATTTAACAAATGATGGCGGCAGTTTACAAAAGACCAAGTTTCCAATTAGTCTATGATTTATACATAAATGTAATTAGTAAGCGATTCTTTGGTTACTTTGAAATCAATATTTTTTCAGGAGTAAGAAAAAATTGAAAAATAAAACATTAATAATAATATATCAGTTAAAGCTTTTCAAAAACATTAATTATGTACAGATGATTAGGTTTTAAAAATAAAACCTTTTTATATATTCTACAATTCCACATATATATATTTTCTAAAAATATAATTAATTGATATCAAAACACGGCAATATAAATGGAAATAAATAGCAGCTTAAGTTAAACAATATTTATAGCATATAAAACACGCGCATTAAACATAAATTTGAGAAGTAAGACAAGTAATTAAAGAAATTGGGAAATAAATGTTTGTATATAACATGTATTTGGTCAAGCACAATTATAGATGAATGATTATGTCTCTGGAATTCCAATTAGCCTATGACTTATACATCAATGTAACTGGTAAGTGATTCTTCGGTTACTTTGAAATCAATAATTTTTCAGGACGAAGAAAAATTAAATTGAAAATAAAACATTAATAATAATATATTGGTTAAAGCTTTTCAAAAACATTAATTATATACAGATGATTAGGTTTTTAAAATAAAACCTTTTCATATATTCTAGAATTCTACATACATATATTTTCTAAAAAATATAATTAATTGATATCAAAACACAGCAATGTAAATGGAAATAAAAAGCAGCTTAAGTTAAACAATATTTATAGCATATAAAACATGTTCAAAAAAGATATATGCGCATTATACATAAATTTGAGAAATATGACAGTATAATTAAAGAAATTGGGAAATAAATGTTTGTATATAACATCGATTTTGTCAAGCACAATTATAGATGAATGATTATGTCTCTGGAATAAAATAAAATCTTTCATTTATTCTAGAATTCCGTATAAAACATGTTTCTTAAAAAAATATAGCCATTTGGCATCCTAACAAAGAATTGTAAATGGAAATCATAAATTGTAGCTAAAGAGTCAACTAATTACAAATTGTAACTTAACTATACAAAAAAAAGTAATCCATTAAATAATAACCTTCATAGAATATTATTTTTCGAAGAAACTGTGCATCAGAAAAAAAATTACAAAAATTAATATGATTTTAATTGATTTTGACAAAACCAAGATCTCTAAAAATTTTATAGATTAGTTCAATTGCTTTAAATTAATTAGGATTAAATTAAAACAGCTTACTTTCCAGTTAGTTCTTTCTTTCTAATTCAAATGCTTAATCACTTCATAACTTTTACACAATTATAGTATTTTATTATTATATTGCTATTTTATTATTGTACAAGATCAATATTTCATAACTAATAATTACTCAGAAATTTGAGCACATCAACTCTTTTTTTAAAAAAAATGCTTAGGGAGAAATAGGTTAGCATAATTTAAATATATAATGTGTAGCATAAAATAAATATGCAATATATTTTTTTAAAAAATAGTTAGTAAAAAATGTATAACAACATACATTTTTTTAAATATCAATTCTCTTTATATTATAGGCAAAAAAATTTTTTTAAATATTATCAATTTTCACATTTAATATGTTTCCTTTAATTACTGTATTACTATAGCAATAAAATAACCATAGACATAACTATTAAAACATATTAGAATAACTTGGAGTAACTATTAGAAACCTTTAACCAGTAAAATTTCAGTCATATTAATAATACAATATATATTCTAGCATTTGAAGCAGGGAGCAAAATTTCCACTCGCTATTTGTGATAAGTTATTTAAGGCTGGTGTGTAAATTTTGTCTTGTAAAATGTTGTTTGTGAAAAAAAAAACTTCCATACTTTCCCCAGAGTTAAGGGTCTTTGGGAAACAACTTCCACAAGCATTATAGAACATCCTATTAGAGTTTCACCCCAGTGTCACAAATAACAAGAGAAATTTTAGAAACGAAACATAGCAATGTACAAACATGAAGCATTAAATGTTGCAAGCAATTTTTACATTGCCACTCGCTTGCTCATTTATAACAATGTGAATAGAAAAATCTAGGTATTAGAATGAATCATTACAAGAAAAAGAAAAAATATACAATGATAAATTTCTATTTGGTTTATAGCAAATATATTTAGTTAAGCTTTGGTATGAGATCAACAACTAAGGAATTACCAAACATAATATAAAAGTGTAAACAAATAATACTATTGAATTTTTTCAAACATTTTATAAAGGAAATGTGGGGAAAAATGTGTCTCAAATAACTATACTACAAATAAACACAATTTAAGAATAAGAATTATTTTGAAATTTCTGTTTTGTAGTTAAACTGTTATACAATCCTAAATGTGAAGTAGGCACGGTTGGTATGATTTAAATTGCAATTTATATCACTTAATTTTTTTTTTAAATCATTAATTGGTATAAAAAAATTATTCATTTAATTAAAAAATATTTTTTTCTATTTAAGATAATTTGTAAACATATTTTTAAGATTGTAATTTTTTTTAAATCTAATTTTAATGATATTTAAAATTTCATTCAGAGAAGTAAAGAGAAGGTAATAAATATACCAATGTTATTATTTAATTTCAAAACAGACAAAATAAGAATAAATAAATAAATAAGACTACATATAGATTAAAGTATCTGAAACTTTTAAATCATAACTTTCCATAAGCTGTATGTCAAGTAAATAACTTTATATTTTAATAACCATATTAGAATTAAACCAATTTAGTTTTATGTTTCTTTAAATACAAATATTTTTAAAACTTATTAGACATGTAGTTTGCATAAATAAATAATGAAGAAAGTCTTTATCTGCCAAGAGTAATTTAGAATAACTAATTTTTATGTTTCCTGATCAAAATTAATTTGTAAGTTTAAGGAAGTTTATTTGATATCTAATTCACAAATCAGGTCTTTTTCTTTAGCAATTCATAAAAGTAATGAGCTTGAATAAAAACCAAAATTTTAATTTTCGCGGATTAATATGTAATTATTATATAAATTATTATATAAATATTGTTATAATTAGTTATAATATAATTATATAATTAGTTATACTATTTGTTTAAATAGTATTAGGCTTTAATATTTTTTATCGAAGCTTTGTGTGATATATGCAAAGAAAAATGCCAAAAAAAACAAGATCAGGTACCTTTTTTTTTTTAAAAAAAATCATGATTTTAGCCAACCCTGGAAGTTGATATTAAAAATAGCATTTAAATAAACAATACTGTGACAAAAAAATAAAAGTAGATATTAAAAAGAGAAAAAAAAATATCACATCAGTTAAAATAAATTTGAGAACAAGTGATATATATTTATATTTTATAACAAGTATACAAAACTTTAGTCTTTTGTAAAGAAGAGGAATGATTTGAAAGTTTAAAATTACACAAAACACAGTCATATCATGTAAATTTTAGTGTTAAGGTCTTCGAAAATGTATAAAAAATATATCACCAAGCCTTTAAAAACATTTAAATCATAGAAACCTATTTTGCTTGTCACCATCAGAAGATGTAGATCTAGCAGTCTTTGTAACACTATCTAAACTTTTAGAAGGTCCAGCTGCTGGAGCTGCACCATAATTTGAGTCATAAGAAGATCCCGGCCAACACTGACTGAATGCTTCAGATGATGTTAAAAGACCAGTTGCTTCCCCAGCATCAGCAGCACTTAAAAGAGGAGTCGCCTGATTTGGCACTGTTACAATTTTTACAATATTGCGAGTTCCAGCAGTCGCCAAATAGCAAAACACTGGTACAAATACCAAAACAGCAACTATTGCAATAAAAATAACAACAATACCCCAAACTACATTTTTTGTAGGAATTATACCTGAAAAAAAATAAGTCAAAATTAATATGATAGAAATTACTTTTGACATTATTAAGAAAAGTGAATTACAGAAGTCTTTATAATTGGTTTTAATAGTAAAATGTTTTTTTTTTTTTTTTTAATATCTCGCTCTCTCTTGATGCATGTACATATATTCTACAGATTATTTTCATCAGAGATATTAAATAAAAAATAATAATAAGCAGAGAAAAAATTGCTATAAGAAAAAACTGGAAAAAAGTCAAAATTAAAGATAAATGTAAAAGAAAAGATTTTTTCTCACTTCATTTATGAAAAATAAGGAAAAGTTTTTCTGAAAATTTTACACCAGGGTAAGTCACTTAATGTTCAATTTTCTGGTTACTATTTCATTTGCGTAAAAAGTACCTGTGATAGCATGATAACCAATTTAATTTGAAGAAAAAATCGCTAATCAGGACACCATGAATTACATTTCTTTAAATTTCTCTCTTTAAAATAAAAATATTTTATTTTAATATTGTCATTTACATGCTAATCTTTTCTGTCTGTTTTCTTCATTGTTCTTAGTATAAGTATCCTTTTTTTTCTTCATTTAGCAAAACTAAAGAATGATTAGATAAAATTTAAACAACATAAAGTTTAGATGTAATAATATTTAATATTAGCAAATTGTGTGTGAAATATATGTTAGATTAAGCTTAATTTTTACAATAATAATCTTTCCCTGGTTGTGTTGAGGTTGCAGACAAATTTGAATTTTTGAAGATAGGGCTGCAGATTGACTCTACAAATTCTGCTAACTGGTACTATATATATATTGCATAAGGTTTAAACATTATACTAGATTTTATTTCAAAGCATTCTGACCAATATTTAAAACCTTGAATTTTAAATATTGTTGAATTTCAAATATAAAGACACATGAAATTTTTTTCTCCAAATTTATTGCGTAATTAGATAGAGTAACATCAAATGTGAAAATGGCTAGCATGTTCAAAATACTTTCAATTACATTCGAATTTGGCAGTTAAACAGAGAAATGTGTTCTGATGAATAAGAAAGACAACTTCTTTTTTTGTTATTATTGTTATGCTTCGTAAAAAATAATTGGACATCTTAACTATTTTATTAAGTTTAATTTATTCAATGCTTATGCTTAAATCTGTACTTATTTATACTGAAAATTGTAGATCAATGTTTATAGAAACTCTCTTAAAAACTCTAATCACCACACAGTGCAATGAACTCGAACAGTGGTTGGAAAAACATTATTTTTATAGTTAACTACAACTACTTTAATACCAATCAGTTAATTATAACTGCAACAATTTTTTCATAAATGTATTTACTACAAGCTACGTTTGAAATTTAATCCCTACATCACTACTTTTGAACTTTACTAAAGAACTACGAACTTTGCTAAAAAAAACTTAATTTACAGCTAAGTTCAAAATGCTTTTGAATAAAAAGTAGCTGAGGAATTATTAATAAATATTTATTCATGATTACATTAGCCAGTTTGTTATTCTAAACCTTCTCTTAAGGATTTGTTCTCTTAATCTTCAACTTTTTTATGTCTTAGTCCACAGCAAATATATAATTTAAGAAAATTATCAAATATTTGCAATTTTATGAAGAGTTTAATGGTTCTCTATTTTCTATGAAAAGTAAAGTACATTGAAAATTACAAAGAAAATAAGTTCCCTTCCATTGAAGAAACATCAATATTTCATATGTGCATATTTGCATTTGAAAGTGCAGCTAAATAGATAAATTAGCTAATTATTTGTAATAGCTAGTCTAAATATTAGTAATACTGAATTCTAAATGAGTAATTCTTATTAATGCTCAGTTACAGGAGCATTATTATTGCATTCACTAATGTAGGGGTGCTCAACCTGCGGCCCGCGGGCCAAATGCGGCCCGCCAACCCTCGATGTGCGGCCCGCGGCCGNAATCAGTTTTGCATTTTCTAATTTTAAACGTTTTAAAGTATTGTATTTTCTGCAACGAGATTACAAGGTTAACCGACAAAAAGAATTTAGTGTTATATAAACAATGAAGTTTATATAACAATCACCACCAACAATTGCTTTCAATATGTCGGTCTAAACACTTTGGCATGCGGCCCTTCATTGGTCAATCTGCTGTGCATATGGCCCTTCACTGAAAAAGGTTGTGCACCCCTACACTAATGGACCTGCAAATATTTGTACCAATCACATTCAAAAACTTTGCTGCATTTGAAGCTTATTTCTTAACTAGATTAACATTAAAAGTAGTAGCTCTGAACTGCCAACTGCTGTTTTTTTTATCACATTGCTCACAAGACTAACTTAAGTAGCACACTACACTACAATCAATAAAAAAAGCATTCACTACGTTATTTTTGTTATTTTATAAATTTATAAGTATTTGTTATATAAGTATTTTTGTTATTAATAGCATGCTAATTCCGACCATAGAAGAAGAGTGAATAAAAACATTAAAATTTACACTGAGATATAGCACTATAAAATCGTACTGTCATAGTCAATTACAAAAAAAAAAGAAGAACATATATATATTTACATTTTGTTTCATCTGATAAGTCTCCACAATCATTGTGACCATCACAAGTCAATGAATACCAAATACAGTGCTGATTTTCACATAAAAATCTTTCTCTACCCTTACAGGCTCCAGTTCTTTTATTAGCTTAAAAAGAAAGAATAACAACATTTTCATCTAATATATTTTTAAATGTGAAGTTAAATACTTTATTAATAACATGTAGCTGTCAACATGGATAAGAAAAAAATCCAATATTTTCTAAAATAATATAAATTTCATGATAACTGTTGAATAGTATAAAAAAAATATTTTACGCAAAGGGAATTTTAGGGATTTTTGTACTCATCTGAATACAAAAACTTTATTACACTAATAACTATAAATGGTCTGCTATATTTTTTTATTTTATTTATGATTGACATTAAATAAACTTAAATTGGAATTGTTTTTCTTTCTTTATTATTATTATGCTTACTTTTAATTTTGAATAGTCATAGACATTTAATTCATTAAAGAGAGTTCAAAAAAATGTAATTAATTTAAAAAGAGAGTTCTGAATAAAAATAAACTAAAAATTTTATAACAAAAAAAGAGAAAAGCTTTAAACTAATTAAAATGAGTCTCACTTCATTTAATATTAGTAATACTTATTTAAATATTCAAGTAAGCAATAAACAGTATAAACATTCGATTTCTATATAGATTTTTGACGAAGCTCACACAATTTATGGAATTTTTCTAAATGCTCAAAAACCAGGAGTATTTTAATTAATCAAGTAGACCAGGAATAATTTTCATTTTATATTTTTAAAGTGAGAATTTAAATAATTTATTATTAACATGTAGCTGCAAACATGGATAGAAAAAAAAATCAGTAGATTTTACAAAATAATACAAATTTCATAACTGTTGAACAATATAATAAACTAGGAGGCTTCGCCCCCTGCTCGCTTGCGCTCACCAACCCCCGGAACTGCTTTCGCAGTTCATTTCGGATTGCTTCGCAATCCGATGCTCGCTTTGCTCGCTCATTGGATACGCTCTTAACGTCTAGCTTTCGTATACTTTTTTGAACACTGATGTTCCGAAAACTTTTCATAGTAGAAAATTCTAAACCTGTACATTTCAATATTAATTTGAAATTACAAACAGTTCACATGTTTTTCTTAATCACACTACACTAAATTTCAGTTGTTGAGAAAAGTAACTGTTGTAAGTTTTGTTTTAAAGTCTTTCCCACCAGAGGGCTAAAACCATGTGTTGTAAAACAATATGAAACAGTACTGAACGCCGGATGTAAAGCATCGGCTTCGATGAAGATAATTTTGTGAGAATTTTTTTGATAATTCGGTGAGAATTCACCCGATTAGACATATGATGCTCACTACGTGCTCTTGCGCGCCGAAGCCTATCAATTAAAACGTATTAGAGTTTTATATAATATAGATTAGCCATATGATGCTCACTACGTGCTCCTGCGTGCCGAAGCCTATCAATTAAAAATGAAAACTGTTGCCAACGCAAGAAAAGAAATATCATCAGTTTCATTGATACATACATACGTATTAGCGTTTCATATAATATAGATATTTATTATACACACAGAGAATTTAAAAGATTTTAATAAGCATCAAAATACATTAGCCGCAAAATACAGTATTTTTATAAAATAAGTAGACCGAAAGAAACTTGTAAAATCCTGAAGAGTTGGCAGCTATGATAACATTAAAAAGCAAAAAAAGGTAATAATTGATCTGAAAACGAAAAATAATCATGTATTCATTGCTTAAAAAAACTTGAGTTAAAACTAGCATACTTACCAAGGTCAAAAACAGTATAATGAGCTATGAATCCTGTCACATTCAGAGGTACAGTCACATTTGCACTGATGAACTTGAGAGTCATATTGTTGAAATTTCCAGACTCAAATTTCAGACCTTCACAATTTTCATTTGAGCAAACTTGCTGCCCAAAAAGAACTTGATCTGAGACCCCACTATTGAAAACTACTGTGAGATTATCCATACTGGAATTTCTCAAACTGACTTTGGAGAAAGTTAATAAAATATGGTAATTGCTTTCTGTTGAAAAAGTTACAGAACAATTCATATTTGGTGAATACCATGGACTACCTTCAGGGTTAGAACTCATAACAAGGGAGCCTGATGAATGCTCACCATGGATGGGCAGAGTTTCTGGATCAGAGCCATTGAGACAATACTTCTGAAAAACAACTATTAAAAAAGCTTTACTTTATTTTTTTCAAAAAATCATTCTGTCGTTTAAACAATTTATTTAGTATGCACCTTATAAAGCAACAAACTATATGATAAAATAAAATACTTGCAATACAAAAATAATTATTAATTGTAACAATAAACTATAAAGAGTGCAACTTAGTAACAACATGAAAATCATAACATGATTATTACATCAATAATCATTAAGAGTGATTTTTATCTATTCTATATTGTAAATGTCGGACTTGCAATTGGCATTCAAAATGTATGTGAGCATTAGGGGTAGTAAATGTAAAATGTTATTCATTTAAAATTTTTTAATAATTATGCCATCAAAATATTGTTATACTTTCATAAAACAGATTTAAAGTGAAAGGAGAAAAAAAAGGAATGAGCTCTAAAACTCTTTATTCAAATTTAATTAAAAGTCAGTCAGTCCCTTCTTTCGTTAAGCCCTTTAAATTAATATGTGTAACATTTTCGAACCAATTAACACAACTTAAATCAAACAGAGAATCAATAAAAAAAATTTATGAACATCCAAAACAAATTATTAAATAAAAGTGTCAAATAATATTTTTTTTAAAGACGGAACAGGAAATCACAAAATGAAATAATTTCTCTCTTAAAAAAATTTGATATGGGATAAATTTAATTACAAACAATTGATAGATCTGACACTATTTACAAAAAAAGCACTATTTATAAAAAATGCTTACTCCAAAAAAAAATTCTGCTTTTAAATGTTTTTATTAAATAAAATATCTTAACTATGATTTAAAATAAGGTTTTTTTTTATTAATTTAAGAAATTTTAAAAACCAAACTTAACATAGAAATTTATAAAATCTACCTTAATTTCAATACTGAAAGATATCTGTTTTTCAAAGATTATTTGTCCATGTTCTCTCAACTTCTCTTTTTCAATAAGTTTGTAACTTTTTTCCAATTTCTATTATTATTACTACATAGCTATTCATTTATTTAGCTTTTACCAAATACAAATACTCGCATTTATATATATGCATACATACATAAATAATAATTCTCCCTCATTTCAAATTTTGTACAATTAAAAAGAAAAAAATTTGATTAATTACAAATTAGTTCAGGTACCATATTATCTTTTTAAATAAAATATCAGATATCAATCAATAGCTCAATATTTTCTTTTTAATTTACATAAAAATGAAATTTTATGTCAGAATTAAAATAACTATGAACCTTGATTCGTTACAAAAGTATATATTACCCGAATCTAATTTTTAAAAAAAAAAATTCAGCTGTAAATATATTGATGAAAGAGAACTAACAGTTTCATACATAAGTAAAGAAAAAATTAGATTTATGAAAAGTTTTAAATTTTAAGCATTAAAGAAAAGATTTTATAAATTATGTGCATCAAGTGTTACAAACACTTAGATTTAAAATTTACTTAAATTTTTGCGATCCATTTATTGTAACACTTAAATTTCAAAATAATAATATATTTCAAATACATATTTCTCTTGTCTTAATTACACACTTTAAATTACAACTGAAGTAAATTTAAGCAGCAATGAATGTAACATAAATAATTTTGTAATGTGTATATATAACACTTACTATCATTTCCATTCACTGGATAGCTATTAAAAATAGCCAAAAACACTAGCACAAAAGTTACTAAGAAGGCCATCTTGTATCTAAATGAAAAAATATATACATAAATAAAGGTACTACTTTTTGAAAAATAAATACATTACTGTAAGCATTTATTTCATAAGAAGAACTAAGAAGGCCATCTTGTATCCAAAGCAGAAAAAATAAATAAGAGTACTATATTTTGAAATATAAATACACTAATGTGAGCATTTATTTCATAACACACATATGATAGGGGGATATTTCCATATTGTGATCTGTCACATTAACAACAATCGCCAAGATACTAAATAGATTTTAAACTTGTACATTTTTTAAAAATAAAACATATCGATGTTTGGCCTGGGGTGGCTACGAGTTATACCTTTCGAGTTTCATTGATATTTCTTTTAGTTTCTCGCAGACAGTTTCCAAGACATGGCGATGATTTTGCCACAGATCACGATACGGAAATCTCACCTGTGATAGATTAAAGTAAATATAAATTTCTCTGGGATATTTCCGTATCATGATCTGTCTCCCCAACTACAATCGCCAAGATGCCAAATAGATTTCAAACTTGCAAATTTAAAAAAAAAAAAAAAAACACTTAGATGTTTGCCCAGGGGTGGCTACGAGTTATACCTTTCAAGTTGGTCCCTTTCTGTGATGTTTTTTATAAATTTCTCGCGTGTCACTGCCCGGAAGTTTCCAAGACTTGGCGGTTATTCTACCACAGATCACGATACGGAAATCTTCCCAGTTTCTCAAAGTTTCAGTTTTGCTTACAAAATTTCAAAGGAATAGGTTTCTCACAATAGAATAATAGCACTATAGCTTACAATTGCTTTTTTAGATGCAAAATATATTTAAATATTTTTTTTCATAAAATAATTAGAGTATTTTCCTCTTGTGAGACATTAACCCTCTAACTTAAATTTTTTTTTGGCTACTTAACTAGATTGCTTAGATGCATAACTTTCCGGTTTCCATTAATGTTTATTTAATGAACAAAAATAAATAGCTATTAAACTTACTATATACAAGAGAAAATAATGAAAGATAGTACTTCCCCGTTTATCAGGCAAACAAATTAAAACGAAAAATTTAGAAAAATATCACATCTCATAAAAAAATTAAAATAATAAAATTAATTAATTTTTTTAAATTATTAACACGGAATATTTGACGATAGTAATTCCCAAACTTTCAAAGTATAAATTTATAGTAAATATGTGTTAAATTTGTTTTTTTAAAAATTCCAACAACATTATTGGTTTTGCATTTATTTACTTATTTATTATTATTTGAAATCAAAACTGAGCATACAGAAATGAGTCATAATTAATGTGGTAGACGTACATACAAATGACGTAATATAGGGTGGAACAATAGAACAAAATATTAATATAGTTTTAAATCTGATAGGAAAATTATAAAACTTTTGAAATTTTAAGATCAGTTCACTTTAATGAATTTACTAAATTTTTATTTTCACTCCATTTTATTTATTTACTTCCTAACCAAAACAAACTTGTTTCAAAACAGAACTCTCCGAACAGTTCCAGTTAAGAAATTTTGCAATATTATAAAATTTAATTTTTAAAAATTTTGACTAAACCTTTCATTTTCAACTTTTAATACATTACAATATATTAACTAATGAATCAAAAACATAAATAAGCATATTTGGCTAAACAGAAAGAAATATTCTGATTGATAAGTTTATGAAAATTCGATTTCTCATAATTTAGGAACTTTGTAACAAACTTGCATTTTTAAAAGATCTAATTATTTTAAAAAAACACTAAAAGCTATTAATTTTCATAATTTTAATAATTGAAACACTTTACTAAAAAAGTAGAAAAAGAAAGAAGGATGTCGCAACGCGTACCCCACCAATGACTAGACGTGGCATTAGCCTTGTCAACTCCTTTCTATGACCGCCATTTTCCGTGTATTACCTTTACCGGTAAGTATTTAAATTTATGTTATTTATCACATTTATATAAGCCAAATTTTTGTTTTTAAACTTAACTTCATCGTTATTCATTAATTGAAGCTAACATTTGATAGTTTAGTGTTTTATTTTGTTCAAAAACAGAATCGAAATTTTTCCTGTTTACTAGTGAAGCCCATTTAATATCCTTATCGCCCACTGGACAATTTCAAATTGTAAGTTCTACATTTTTACTAGTTTCCAACAATTGATGTATAAAATATTTTTTTTTGCTCTCATTCTATTTATGCGATATTTTCCAAAATGAAACTCGTTTATCAGTGAGTCATAACTTTGTGTTAATGTAAAAAGCGTCATCATTGCGTATGTGTCAATATCTACGTGTTGTAAAATAGATTCTCTTGATTTTGGTGGTACATTTTTACGCTTCAGTTTCAAACCTTTATTTAAGCGAAACATTTATGTACATTGTCAGCTATTGTGTCTAGTATTTAGTTTAACATTTCGAAGTGAACGAGTCAACATCAAATTTGTGATTACCTGCATGAGAATTTTATTTTCTCAAATATTTCACATTTGAGGTAAATTAGTATCACATTCTGATTTCCAATTATCATATCTTTGAAAATATTGTTATACTCTTTTGATGTATTTATATTATATTTATTGTATATCATGTATTGTTCTGCTTCTTATTTTTGATTTCATAATTCAATTGGAATTCATTAGAGAAGTAGTTTGTAATTTGATTAACAGAATTAGTATTCGATTAAAAAACATTCCTTATTAATATTTGTTTTATAGTTTTAAAATTTGACTAAATTTTTTTATTATTGATTTGAGTAGCTTTATTTTGACATGAAATTAACTTAGAATTTCATAATTATTGGAATTTTATTTATTTCAATTTTGTAATGGTTTGACTTCTTATAGGTTTTCCAGTATTCTATTTAAATATGGGTAATATCTTTGCTAACCTATTCAAAGGCCTTTTTGGCAAGAAGGAAATGAGAATATTGATGGTTGGTCTTGATGCTGCTGGTAAAACAACCATACTGTATAAATTAAAATTGGGAGAAATAGTGACTACAATTCCTACAATAGGTAAAATATTTTTTATTTAATCTTATTGTTTTATTTATTTCATAACCCTTACATTTTGAGTGATAATTTGACATTTACATGAAATAGTGTATATTTAAAAATCTTTAAATTTTTTGATCCAATGTATTAGTTTTCAGAAATTTGTTTTTCGCCATTTGTTATTATTTTCTTGTCAAAATTTTTATATTTATTTATTGAGAAATACATAATTACGGGCAATATTTCTTTGTAAAAATGCATAAGTTATTCCATTCAATTTTTAAAAAAAATCAAACGTATAATTAGATTTTTAAACTTTTGAATTGCAATGAAATTTTGGGGGTCTAATTATTGAATTGTATCATTTTCGTTTCGGATATCAGAAGTTTTTAAAAATATGACGCTTAAAACGTAATCGCAACACTGATTTTAAGGGAAACCACAATTTTACAATTTTGTTGGAAGCACTCTTATTATGTAGTAGTTTATGAATTTTCAGTCATTACTAAAAATTAATATTTTGTCATATTTTACATTGTTGGTCAATGATGCTTACTGTAACGTAACATGTTAATACCTATATAGAAAACAATAAGGTGGTCACAAGCCAAAAAATGAGAGCTTAAAAGCTGATGAAACTTTTGCTAAATCTTTTTAGAGAGAAGTTAAAATCCATTGGATTTTGGCATCAATTTGAGTCCTTTAGATCGGAGGATCTTTTGCGACTTTGAATATTTGGAACTGTCAAATTTGCTATTATTACAATTCACATTCACACTATTTTACTATCAAACATTGATTTTCAGATTTACCTGGTTTTAAGTTACAAGTCGCTGTTTGTATTTACTTGTTTCTAAAATCAAAATTGCCATTCTTATTCACCCATTTGTAATTGTTGGAAATATGATCAAATCAGCCGAATCTATACTCGTTGAGTTAGCCTAACCCAAGTCTTTATTCAGGAAATTTACTTACTTTTGGTTAATAATTTGTTTAAGATATTTTTTCTTAAATGGAGTGATCTGGAAAATGGGATTGCAGTATGAAGCAATGCTCAAAATTCACTACATCAAAAAAATATTTTTTTTTTCAATCTATCTACTAATTAAGCAAATGTAAGAAAATTTTATTGTTGTGCATTTACTGAAACAAAGATTAAATATTGGTGTAATTTCAAGGTACTTTTGAAAAGAGATAGGCTTCACATTTTATCAGTGAATAACTTCAGTGTGTTTATTATTGTTTTTTTTTTTGTTACTGTTTAATGTTAAATAATAAATTTGTTTATGTATTGCTATATTTTTATAAAAACTTTTAGCAGAAATAACATGTTGGCATTGTAAAATAAAAGTTAGTATCTCAATATACCTCTGTAATGCCTTTGTTTTTTTAATAGTTTTGCTCTTTTAGTGCCATTGCCCAGGATACCTTATGTTCTTGATTAAAATTAACCATAATACAAATTAGCTTCCAATTTTACAGGACTGGGTTTGAATATTTGAGTTCATTTTTGACATAAAGTAGAAGCACATATCATAGTAGTTGCCTGTGGGCTAACATTTGTTATAGATCCGCAGTTATTTATAAAATGCCTGTTTTTTGTCTGTGAAAAAATTATTGTAATTCAGGTTAACTTAATATTTAAGTGGGTTGCTACGTTTGATTCCATTTTCAGATGTGAGGTAACTGGCACCAGTAAAAATGTCGAAATTAGTTAGCAAGAAGAAAAAATTAAACATCTGGTTTAGATTCATAATAAATCTGTTGCCAACCTATTTTAGTTTTATTCCATGAACTTATCTTTACTTAGAATTTTGATGTCCTTATAAGGCCTCCCATGTCAAAGGGCTTCATCAATTTCATTGTATCCTGTAGAAAGACTATTCTCAAAATTAAAATACATTGAAGATCAAATATGTAATCAAGTTTATTTGATTAGGTTTTTTTTTTCTTCTTACGATTGAGCAAATAACTTGATCGTGAATTAAAGTTTTATTTTCAGTGTTAGCTAATAATTGTAAATGCTCCTTTTTATGATAATTTCAAATTAAAATCTGAAACATAAAATCCCTCATTCATAAAATTGCCACAGCCTTTGTGAAGATGGAAGAGCATTAAGTTTTTTGATTCCGGGTTCCTGGTAGATTGTCAATTGTTCATAGGATATCACAAAGATATTTTTAAAATTGTATCATATCAAGACATGAAAATTTTTTTGCAAAAGTACTGGAGGTAGGCAGTTTTTATAGTGTATTTTATTAAAATATGTTACTAGAATTTGTTATTTACCATAATTAGTAACTTACTCATATTTTTTTAATGTATTTCTTCTAAGAATTCTTTCCAAGTTGGTGAGTCTTTGGAGCTGTTTGTTGAATATTAACCCTATGGCAAATAAAGCTATTTCGTTCATTATTTAAAAAAAATTGCGATCTAGTGCCTCTTTATTTTCTGTGATTTTTATCTTATAAATAAATGAAATTCCAAATTGTTTTTAAAGCAGAAAATTAGAATAATTGTTTCATGAAAAGTTTCAAATAAATAGTTATTTAGAAAATCTTATGTTATAATTGTTTGGTTTTTTCCAATGATAATATAAGAACTGGATTAAAAAAAGTGACATTTTTAATTTTTTATATAATGTGTTATAAATGTGCAGAAATTAACGAAAACAGAGGTTTGACATAATAAAAGCATCCTTATGCCTGGGTGAAAAGGTCTGTTTCTAAATCGCAGGTTATTCTTTAAATTGGTATTTCTTATTGAAGTAGTTTATTATAACTAAACTTATATCATAATATCTATAGTTTTTATATTAAAGGGGGAAAAATATTTCAAGGTCAAACTGAGATTTTGCTATCAATGTTAAATTACTTAATTTTTATGTTGACAATCTTGTCACAATTTATAAGATTTGCGTTGTCACACTTCGTATTCTTATTTGTAATTGAGACACTTTTTTTTTAGAATTTAGTTAATTAGGTTAGCTTGGGGTGAGTTCCAGGCTCTAGGCTTAATATAGATGATGGTTGTAATAGGACTGATATGTAGCTAGATCAAAGCACTATTTTAGGCTAAAATAGTGCTTTGATTTAGCAGCTATGTTGGTTGAACTGAAAACTATTTTTCTCTTGATGGTTATGAGATTCACTATCTCTCGAAATCAACGACTCTCCCAACCTCACCAATAGTTCCTCTATTGCTGGCCAGCAAGACTTATGCACAGATTGTGAGAAATTTCTATTCTAGTAAAAAATTTTATATTTCTAGTGAATAATTGTAAAATATATCATCAAATAGCAGTTGACTTCATGAATTTTTTTAAACTCAAGCCTGTCTTTATTTTCTAATTTAATGAAATATTTTATTTTCTACTTGTTAATTTGTTTTTGATGTTAATTGCAAAATATTTTTTTTATTCTTTTAGGTTTTAATGTAGAAACAGTGGAATATAAAAACATAAGCTTCACCGTATGGGATGTTGGTGGTCAAGACAAAATTAGACCTCTATGGCGACATTACTTCCAAAACACTCAAGGTAAGTAAAACTTCAGATCTCTTTAATTGTTTTGCAATTAACTGGTTAGGTGTGATTGTTATATATGTATATATCTATCCTTTTATTTATTTAATTTTGACTATTTTGTTTTGACAAACTGAATCGTATTTCATTTTTTATGACCAATATTTTAGCTCTTATATTTAGCATCTTATAAGTATCACTCCTTATCCAAGTTAAAATGTTAAAAGTACTTTAAAGTTAAATAGTAATAACCTAACCACCCTGTGTTTACGTTCTATTCGTACTGTAAATTAATTGTTATAGGACAGGTGGCGAACCTTTATACACAGACATGCCATTTTCTCTATAAAAAAAATTTCTTAGTTAGGTCATAGACGTGCCGTCAAATAATTTTGACTTCGTGATTATTGGGAAAATAATAATACTAATTACTATCAACTCAAAACTCTTTATTTACATTGGGGAAAAAAATACATTTTGCAATGTCTCACTTATACACGTAATTTCAACTTAAAATAACATCAGTGTGACTTCTGTTGTTGCAGATTAGATGACCAATAACTTATATTAGGTTGTAAAATGTTAGTTTAAGCAGGATTGTTTATTTTTTTTGCTAGTTATTTACTGTTAGCTTGCTTTTTACGGTTATTAATTGTTTTTTTAGTATTAATTTTAAATTTTTTTATTAATAATTGTTTATTATTTTGTTTTTTGTGAATTTCAATTTAATTGTTACGTATGCTTCATAGTGTAACAACAATTGTGATCGGTGGAGTCCCCAAAATATTGTGTTGCGTGCCATTGGTTCGCCATCCCTGTTATAGGATAATCCCTTCTCTATAAGCATCCAATGTTAAGCATAATAACTTTTAACCCATAGAGTTCACAGAAAAATGTGCAATGCAAGATAGCTTTTTATAATTTTTCAGTTAATTGCTAGAGTCTAATTTGCATTTATATCTGATTTGTAGCCTGTTTAAAAAAAAATTTAACTATTTAAAATAAATCATCTAAAATCAATAAATCATTAAATAGTAACTTAAAGTATACCCAGAGAGCAATGATATAATATTCACATTTCCTTTTATTTAGTTATGGTCATAAGCTAACACATTCTTATACTCAAGATATTTGTGTGCTGAAATATAAATATTTTTATTAAACAATACTTTATCTAGCATTAATAATCCAGTTAAATAAGAACTGCAAATCGGTAATATTTAACGTATAAGGAAACATAAAGGCAAAATTAACATGTTAGCCTGCAGTAAAGAAAAATTCACATATTTATGAGAAAAGCTAAGAAAAAGTACACATGGTAAATAAATTAATTACTCTCCAGAAATAATTTAGTTTATTGAATGAGAGGATATTGATTGTCCCATTGTTCACTTTTTTATTCCAGAGTGATATGGGCAAGCAATTATATAATAAACATCATAAACAGCTCAAAGGAAGAATCAAACATAAATAATAAAATAAAAATAAAAAAATTTCTGAAATTATGGAGCTCCAAATTATTTTTCGTTAAATATACATTATCAAAGTATACATTTGGAAAATGGCCTGGGGCTAAGCCACACCTGAATTCAAAACATAAATAACCGTTTAATGGTTCCAGAATTCCATGATATGTATGAAAATCTCTAAAAAATAAATTTTATCCTGCACCTAATTTAAGGTTGTGGTATAAAAAGATTGCAGATTATATGAATGATTTTTATTTAGTGAAAAGGATTAAAAACATAGTTTTGTTTTTAAATGTTATGAAATGTTATACATACTTCAGCATGACCATTACTTATGAAATCACACGTATATACAATGAGCATGTTAGTGCAATTTAGACTAATAATTATGCTTCTTAGAAAAGTCTTATAAAGCTTAGAAACTTTTTTAAAAACTTCAGTGCTTAATTGCTTATTTAGTAATTTAAGTATAAAAAATAAGATTTTTTTTTTTTTTTTTTTTTTTTTTTTTTTTNAAAAAGTGCATTCTTCTGGACAAGCATGGAGACCTTTTTTTATAATGTTTTGAAATATCAACAAGTTTTTATTTTTTTATTTTAACCTCTCCTTAAAATAAGAAAAGCATTCTCTTTTGTTATTATGCCTCATTTAATCAAAAATTCTTATTGCCTTATTGATTGTCTTTAAATGTTTGGAAGCTTTATATTTCAACAATATAGTAAATTTTTAAGTATGAAATTAAGTGTAAGAAAATTGTAAAGCTATTTTGGGCTACCTGCTACCTGTGGTTCAACGAACTGCTCTTCTAAAACTTATCTAAATCTTGGCACTCATACGATAACCAACTTTCAACTGCAACATCATTATATAATAATTTGTCAAAAATATCTAAATAAAATTTGATTTAAATTTGGATTGTTTTAAAGTTATCCATTCAACGCAAATGCAAAGGTTGGAGCTGCTTTTTCTTTAAAAAATAAAAGCATCAAGATAATTAAATAAAGGAAACAAATTAGACCATTTTAAAATTGCTGAGATAATGATAGCATTCATGACTTTTGCATTTGTGATGAATACTTGTTTTTTAAAAAGTATTAAAAATTTAGTCAAATAAAGACATCAGGTACCTTGTTGCTCATTGAGTGAACCTCTTCTTTAAGGATCTGTCAAAGAAATTGCAATTTTTTTTAATATATATATTTTAAAAAGAATTTCTATTTGTGCAGGGTTGATTTTTGTGGTGGACAGTAATGATAGAGAACGTATTGGAGAAGCTAGGGAGGAATTAATGAGAATGCTAGCTGAAGATGAACTAAGAGATGCCGTACTTCTTATATTTGCTAATAAACAGGTATAACTATTTTTAAACCAAAATTTCGTGATTATTTTTTTAGAATACTGATAGAAAGTATGTATGGTATTAAAAAAGAAATTCAATTATTTACATAATCAAATTTTAATAAAATTCATAAGTGTCTCAAACTCAGTGATGTGGGTAAATTGATAGTTACATCATGGTATACTGTGTAAAACTTTTCCCTCTGTTGATAAAAAGTAAGTTTTCAAATGTAATATTAAAAGAAAAGAAAAACTAATACTATTCAACTAATAGTCTTGAAAATTATCAAAATGGCAATCTTGAAAATTAAAAACCTTGCTGCAAAATTTAGCTAGAAATAGATTTAAAAAGAAGAAAAAACATAAATTTTTAATCATTTTATTCTATAGTTATTCATCTATAGTATTTGAAATTTTTGTATTTTCAGTTTAAAGCACTAACTGAAATATATTTGAAAAAGCGCTTCTTGGTTAACACTTAAATGATTTTCAATCATCAGTGTCAAATTGTTTATTGATGTACGAACATAAAGGTATAAATAAACCTGATATTTCAGATTATTTAAGAAATACTAATTTGGTGAATATCCTCATAGAATTTTTTATGTTTTTCCTTGAGCTTACTTTTATGTGATCAATACAGTGGTGAGATAAGCATGTAAAATTTTTGTGCAAAATAGTTTTATGCACTTTGTTAATTTGTTCATGATTTGAGTTGATGGGTATTTTCACTTTGTTCTTTTCCCACTCTTAATAGATATCTCCCAGCCTTTGAATAAAATATAGTTAAATATTAAAGAATGCGTAATAAACTCATTTTTCGATTTATTAGAGCTATGAATGTAAATATTTGAGAAAAGCAATGACTAATTTACAATAGAAATTTCTTTTCAAAAGTTCCTCCCAAAGAAACTTAAATTTTTAAATGAATTTTAAAAGGAAATTTTCCTTTTGTCTACATTTGAGGATAACAAACAGTTCTGGATCTATAAAAGAGACAGATATACAAACTCTTTTATTATAGATTAATTTATCTTCTGTCATATCAACTATCTCTTCTTCCAGACTTAAAATGCAAGCTCTATACTTTGCTTACTAAAATCTATTTTATCACATCTATTTATTATGCCTTATAACCAGTTATCTCAATAGACAATTTGTGTAGAAGAGAAGAAATGTAGTAAAAAGTTGGCTTAACTCGATTTAGACCATATTTAAAATGCTTTATGAAGAAAAGAAAAAAAATAAATTCGATATTAACTTCATTTCTGTTAAGTAATTCCAAAAGTTTAACTAATGATATGTAATACCAAGATTCTTAGTCTGATAAATAACAAATACTGTTAAATATAATTTTATTTTTCTGTGTAAAAGGGAAATGTCTTAGAATTTTTTCTTTTTGCATTTTTGAATTTTTTCTAATGTTACACTTTTACAGGATTTACCTAACGCCATGAATGCTGCTGAAATAACTGATAAACTTGGTCTTCATTCCCTACGAAACCGCAACTGGTACATTCAAGCTACATGTGCAACCAGTGGTGATGGCTTATATGAAGGCTTGGACTGGCTTTCAAACCAGTTAAAAAACCAAAAGTAACCACTGATCTTCAAGAACAATTTCATTAAGTGGACAATTGTAAAACCTTGATTGCATGGATGAAACTTGGTTTCAACCATGAAGAAAGTATTTTGTAGGAAAAACTGGATCTTTTTCCCTGAATGCTCTTTGCTTCTCATTCATGAGCCTACAACTGATGCATTCAGTACCATGATATTATTTTTTCTTTTTTTACTTTTCATTCAGTTACAGGCTCATGTATTAGAGTTGCAGTTCAACAGTTTATTGCAAAAATACAAAAAAATTGGGTATAAAAAATAAAAGAATTTGCAATTGTTTGTAAATAAATGAGTATTAAAAACTTATTTTGCTTTTGTGTTAGGGCCCAAAATGATCATCCATTTAACATTGTAACTGAGATGTCTTTATTATACTGTGTTTGTTTAGCTTTTAAGATAATTTATGACTTATAAAGAATAAAAAGTTTGCTCATACCTCTTCTGTTTTTGGTAACTTTTTCGAGTAATGAAAGAGCTGGCACTCATTTCATCGCGGCCCTGTTTTACCCAACAAATTTTTTTCTCTCTCATCTAAACTAGAACAATTGCATAACACTTATTACATTAATAACATGTGCATTATTTACTCAAAATCATTCTGATAATGTGCAATATTGAAGTTAAGTACCAACAAAATTATTACTGTTTTAACTGAGTACCATTTTAAAGTGATCTTAGTGATTAGATATGAGCTTCTGTTTAAATTTCTGGTGGTGGAATTTTATTGTAATTTTACTTTATTATATAGGTTGCCAAAAACAATTTTAATAAAAAAGCTAATATAGAGATAAATGGTTGGGATACATTAGCCTTATTTTTTGATCCAAATAAATCTTAGGAAAGCAATTATTTATTCTGTTTTTTTTTACACATATATTGTTTGTGTTTCACCTTTATTTATCGCAACATCCTTTCAATAATTGTTTCTTTTTAATTTTGTGTATTTCGATTTAAAACAATTGTATATTTTGAATTACATGTAAAATTTCTGCAGCATTCAAGCACATTTTGAAGTTATATAAATAAATTGATATGAATTAAGTGTGGTCTATTTGAAATGCCCTTGGTCTTTCTCCTGATTTGATAAACTAATTAACTTCTGTTTTAGATTTCTTAACAAGTAAAAGAATTGTGTAAGTTTTAACTGTCATAAGTTCTTATAAATGACTATTACTAATTATGTTGGGCCCTTATATACTTTACTCTCTCGTTGAAAATGAGCCCTAACCTTTCCTATCATACATAATTTTGTAGATTCTGTAGTTAAAATTTCTATTAAATCCTCAAATCTTTGATATATTTTCTACTCTTAAGATTACGTGTGAATAGCTTTAAATAATTACCTTCTAACTAAGAGATTTTGCATAAGTCTAAGCTTTTCATCCTCAATATAATGATCAACATTTATGCTTAATTTATCTTTCAGTTCAAAAGAAACTTAAATAAACTAGTTCTTGCGTATTTAAATATTGAATAATAAAAATGTTAATGTACTCAAATTTTAGATGCATGGGAAGTTTCATTCAAAGAAAAAAATATATGTTGGGGTGCTATTGAAAAATGTTTAATCTTTAAAAGAACTGACTTGGTTGAGCGGCAAATATTAATGAAACTGTATTTAAATGATATTTGTGAAAATTAATAAAGAAAAAAAATAGTAAACTGGCCAAATAACTTCTGCAACTGTTTAAAAAATATGCAGAAATGAAAAAAAGTTCAAGTCTACTCCATTAATTTTTCATTAAAACATATTGTAATTTATAATTCCTGGCAAAATTCTAATTCAATATTACTTTGGCATTTGAAAATTAGAGCTTATTAAATATCAGTATAATGTATGAGTGTTTTTAAAACATTGAATTTGTTTTTTTTTTTTTTTTTTTTATGTATTTACAATTATTACTTTGAAAATGTTAATGTAGCTCAGCACGTAACATATGCAAATTTTTTCTTTATATATATTTCCTCACGTTATTTGGAATACATAATAAGACTATGTTAGAGGGAAACTTTTATGCCTCTAGCAACTTCTGTGGAGACAAATTTTGATATCTGAAGCAACTAAAGCTACTATTTTTTGTAATCTTATCCTATTGGCAGCCCTATAAGTTTTCAGTCTTTTGACTGTCTGAATTTAAAGAAATAAAAAATAACAATGGAGTGAATTGAGCAAAAAAAGCAATTTCAGTTAAAGTTTACAAAAAGAAAAAATTAATCTTCATCAGTTGCTGCATCTTATTTTTCACAATATGCATTGCTATTGCATTTAACTGTGTGTATAACTTTAAAAAATTTTGTTAGCCTATAAACTTCTTAACATTTTTATTATTTAAAAATATAAGGTTGTTTTTTGTTTTTTTTTTTTCAATTGTATGTATGGGTGAAAAAATTTTAGATAGGAAAAATGTAAAAAGCTAATTCTTGAAGAAATAGGTACATAATCATTATACTGAAACGGTTGCAGTTTGTCTCACCGAGCTGCATAATGGGCTATTACCCCGATGGTCTGGGAAGCGTCCCTGAGGATGACTCGAAGACAATACAATTTTGATCCTCTGGAAAGTGGATGGCTCCCCCTCTTTGGTAGCCAGACTACCAGCGCGCAAAATCAGTCCCTCTACAGTAGAACAGTTTTACGGAGACATACCGCACACCCTCTCTCTTGCCTGCTGGGTGATCGAAGTGGTCACTCATCCACAGCCAGTGATTCACAACTTTGGAGGTAAACTTTATGTCCACTATGGGTGAGACTAGTCTGAAATAAACTAAGAAATTCTGTTTGGTTTGAAACGTCTTCTATGTAAACAGTGGATTAAGCTGTCCATGGTTAAAAGCCGAGTGTCTTTCATTAATAAATCGTGAAAAATTTACAACTAAAATATTTTCAAAAGATAGAAATGTACCTAATAATCACTAATGCATCTTTACTTCTGATTTATGAACACCATAATCAAAGAAAACATTAAAATTATGTTTGAAACAAATTTTGTTTTAAAAATAGTTACTGTAATAAATCATTTCAAGGCTGCTTAATATCTGCCTATGAGACAAATGGCAGATATTTTTCTTTTCAAACAAAAAAGTATCCTAAATATGAAGTAAACGAATCTCTCTTCACAGCATTCATAAATAGGATTTATTTTGTTGCCAAAGCTAGTTGAACAAGTTTCTTAATGTATGAATACAATTTGGTAAGAGAGATAGATGATTAGTAGTGCCCCTTGTAATATTAAAAAATTTGCATCTTTCACCTCTAGTTACTCCTGTGTATTGTCAGTCTATGGCAGTGTTTCCCAAAGTGTGGTACGCGTACCCCCAGGGGTACGAGAACAGTCTAGAGGGGGTACCCGCTCTTATGTGAATATCTTACAACAAAGGAACATTTCAAAAAAATTTTATTTAAAAACAAAGCTCTCCGTAAAAATTAACAATTAAATATTTTTCTATTGGCTATTTTTTGCTGAGTTAACAGTTAATAATTAGTATTGTCTAAAGTCAGTTGTAATTTTCAACTTTTGTGCAACTTTTTTCATAGTAAAAAATACATAAATTTTTTTATTAGGATACACAGCGTTACGAAAAATTTAGAAAGGGTACACAAGAGTAATAAGTTTGGGAAACACTGGTCTATGGGAAGAACTCCCCTTGATATTTATCTGGAGTAGTGGCGGTTACTATGTCTACGTGGTTTAACTATTTCAAGTTGAGTTGTTGGATCAATATTTAAGACCAGCTTTAGCAAGAGAAAGCTCTCCTCTTTCAGGGTTCTTACTGTCCTTAAAAAACTGCTTAATTTTTATTTTGGAAAATATGGGCCCTTAAAAATACTTAATTTTGTTACAAGGTTTTTAAAAGTCCTTAATTTCAAAAATACTTTAAATTTTTATTTCTCAGTGCAAAATAAGAATGCATGATTTGCTTCAAACAAGAAAGTTTAATATTTGGTAACTATTTATATCTTTGAAGTTTTAAGATTGTTACTCTTATTATTTTTATTTCTTAAAGATAAGCAGATTGTTACGTAAAAAATTTATATCTACTCAATTAGAAGATCCCGAACTCTTTGTTATTATGTCTATTAGAATCAAATTCAAACTGAGAATTTAACAATCATTTTTTTTTTTCAGTCAACATTGCTACTAAATTAAAGTGACCACATTTTTATTGAGACAAAGCGGGACAAATGGGATGAAATGAGTATTACAATTTAGTCAAACTTTCAACACGCACAATATATATATAAAAATACGAATAAATGTTTGCAAAAATATTTTCAACATCAACTGGAAGTAAGTCAGATGCTGTTTGAATAGTATAGGTATAGAATGTGCGTTGCACAACCTACTCCAATATTTTTTTGCTTCAAATGTTCGTTAAGTTTCGTAAAAACGTTATTGATGCCTCTTCTAGCTTTTCCACCAAAATTTACGTTAGTGTTATCAGCACAATGGGCAATAATTTTATTGTTTAAATTATTCTTTTTTAAAATAGTACTTATTAAATCAAAAATTATTTGTGAAGTTTCATCAGGCAATGAAACAAAATCTAATATTCTAATTTTAATTCCTGTTTCT